ATAAAAATACATTATTGAAGACAAGAAAAGGAAACTATGGCGGACCATAAGTGATGTAATTTTGAAGATGTACTTGTAGGTTATCTGTCACCACCTTTTAATTTACGTATCTTTTATAAGGTTAAATTTGGTATTTAAAATGTTTTTTCTTTCTTTTTTCAGATTGTTAACGGAATCTTTGGGATAGCATATTTTTACATATCTGTATTCGTGAAAAACTTTGAAAATTAATTTTAAAAAGTGACGACAGATAACCCACAAATATATTTTTTTGACAAATTAAACGAAAGTAAATAAATTTTGTTCATTACATAAATCTTTCTCTCACGATATATATATCTGTCTATATATCTATATATATATATGTGTGTGTGTAGAGAGAGAGAGAGAGAGAGAGAGAGAGAGAGAGAGAGAGAGAGAGAGAGAAAATTAGTTCCTACGTCCCTATTTTTTAAAACCAGGAACTGAATATACAAAAGAAAACTGGCTTTTTAAAAATAGGAACCCTGGAAATTTTGCATCCTAAGGATTTACTTTTCAGTCAGCATCTATCTATCTATCTATCTATCTATCTATCTATCTATCTATCTATCTATCTCTTTCTCTCTATACATACATATATATATATATATATATATATATATATATATATATATATATATATATATATATGTATGTATGTGTGTGTATGTATAAACATCGAGTTAACATATTAATGTTACAGTTTCGAAATTCAAAATCCGCATTTAAAATTAAGATATGAATCTTTTCAAACCCTTCAATTTATTTTTATTTCCAACTTTTATTTTGTTGCTGAGTGCTTATATCTCCCTTCCTCTGTCTATCCGTATCCATCTACCGGACAATTTATCATCATTGTTATATATTTTCTACTCATTAGCTCTTGCGTCAAAACTGGAAAGTTTACAATAAAGTTTCCGAAGTTTGTTTCTTTTCTTGCTTTATTGTTTGACTTTGGTTCTTTGAGTTTTTTCATTATTCTTTTATTTTTGTTACAGATTTTTTCAGAATAACGCAAAGCAAAAAGCTTCCTTGGATATTTTATCAATTAATTGAATAAACATCAAAATTATATCAGACCGTTAAATCTAAATCTCAGTTTTCAGTACTAAATTAATTATATTTGAGGTTTATAATAAAAACAGTTTTCCTAAACATAATGAGATTTTTATTATGAATAATCATATCTACAGAAATTTGTTCATTATCTATCTATCTATCTATCTATCTATCTATCTAGCCTAGTCTCTTCATTATATCTTTCACTCTGTTCCTCTCCGACGTTAATTCTACGTCATATCTATTTCTCTTCTCCAATATCTATCTATTTCAGCCTGTTCATTTTCATCTATCTATCTATCTATCTCTATCTATCTATCTATCTATCTATCTATCTATCCATCCATCTATCTCAGTCTGTTCATTATCTATCTATCTATCTATCTATCTATCTATCTATCTATCTATCTATCTATCTATCTATCTATCTCAGTCTGTTCATTATCTATCTATCTATCTATCTATCTATCTATCTATCTATCTATCTATCTATCTATCTATCTCAGTCTGTTCATTATCTATCTATCTATCTATCTATCTATCTATCTATCTATCTATCTATCTATCTATCTATCTATCTCAGTCTGTTCATTATCTATCTATCTATCTATCTATCTATCTATCTATCTATCTATCTATCTATCTATCTATCTATCTATCTATCTATCTATCTCAGTCTGTTCATTATCTATCTATCTATCTATCTATCTATCTATCTATCTCAGTCTGTTCATTATCTATCTATCTATCTATCTATCTCAGTCTGTTCATTATCTATCTACCTATCTTATCATATTTTTTCTTTTTTTATCCTTATTTCTATATTCTTTTCTACTGTTATACTTTTAGAAACCTGAGATGAATCAGACTGAAAGAATTCAAAAATATATCTGCAGAAGAAGGAAATAATTAAGAAAAAAAGACGGAACGGTCGAACGGATAAGTTAAATGTCATGAAAAACAGGAACGGAAAAATGAAAGACAAGAATAATGTATTTTGCTTGCTAAGAGATTTTTGTGTGAAATAAAAGAGACGAATTTTGGTTTGAATGAAAGAGTAATTCCGAAAGGAAAAAAAAAACATTCATTCCTGTTCCACAATGTCCAAAGAGAAACCGGAAGTCTACTTTGGTTCATATCCGCTTAAAAAAATACTTGAAAACGCTGAGATGAACTCTTTCTACTGAAAAAAGCGAGTATATGAATTCTGTTGAAATTTCTGGTAATAAATGCTTCGGCCCAAAGGACACCATCTTTGCCTGCAAGAAAGAAAAAGAATCAAGTTAAAATGATAGGAAAGGAAAATCGAAAACGTCATCCGAATGAAACCGAGTAGATGCATTATATTATTTGAACCTTATGTCTGGAACCTTTCGCGCATGCGCGGTTTCCATTACCAAAAAACAAAAAACAAAAAGGGACGGGTGAAACGAAGGTGTAGACTGCAACGTTAACGAGAACAGGAACGAGATCATAGACGAGAGTATGGAAGTGTATAATGAATAAAAAAAAAACATATGAATTAGGTGCAAAGAAACAAGAAATCAGAACACACACATACAAAAAAAAAAAAAAGAAAGAAAATAAAACGCTTAGACGAAGAAAGTATCGGCGACTACTTTTTTCTCAATTTTGTTTTGTATGATTTATTCATCGTCACAGAAAAGTCGCTATTGACCAGGAAGTGAGATCAGCGAAACAATTTCTCTTTTATAGTAAAAAGATTTCTTGGCGGTCAGAGAATTTTCGATAGCTTTTATTTTTTATAGAACGTGATAATCAAAATGGTTACACTGAAAAAAATTTCTGACGTGGCTGATAGTCTCACAACTGTTTGAAGGATTTGTATATTTATATTCAATTACAGTGTGAACCAACATATCTGTGTGGAGAAGAGAAAGTGTAAATGGGTATAAAATGTGCTGTTCACTCAGTCGTGGGTGTACGGATGTGCGGGCACTAGACATTTTTTGTGGGTCTGCGTGTGTACGTAACTTGTGTATATGTATGATTTTAATTCAATTGATATATTTACAACTACAAGATTCAAAATTTTTTAGAATAATATAGCACACCGTTCAGTCTCATAATAGTTTATTAGATTCCCTTATTTTTTCTTAATCATTTCATGCCAAGACAGGCGATAAAGCCACTAAGATGCAAGGGGTTACTGTGAGTAAAAGAAAATGAGAATGAAGTGAAAGGACAATAAAAAACAGAATTCATAAATAAAGAAGATGGCGATTGATCTTGCATTTTTTGGAGATCGTAGTTTACAGGAAAACAAAAAGGCCGAAGAAATTTAAACCTACATCAGATAATAGAAAATTTTTTGAAGGAGAAAAAGTATATAGTAATCAAGAATAGTGCCGGATTATAAATAAAAAAAAACATTAATTCATTTGAAATATATATATATATATATATATATATATATATATATATATTTAAGCGTTTCACCCCAAGCAAGGCGGGAAGCCACTGGGACACAAGGGGTTACAGAAGATTTAGAGCAAGATCAGATAGGAGTGATAGAGGAAAAGATGAGGAGAAGGATAGTGGATAGATCAAAGCAACTGGAGATGTCGATTGACATTACATTTGAATAGTTGGAGATTATAGCTCTCAGGGAAACTGGAATACGGAAGGGAGTTCCACAGGCGAGAGGTGCGAGATAGGAAGCTATTGGAGTAGAAGAGACGGCTACATTTAATAGTTTCGACAGTGAAAGGGTGAGAGCGGGATGCCTGCCTCGTAGGGCGCTTGAATTCATGAAGTCTGGGAACCAGCGAATGCAGCTCCTCGGAGCAATTACCATGAAAGTATTTGTAATATATATATATATATATATAATATGTTATTTAATACTGTTTATTATAAACAGAGCATTTACTTAAATACTTGTATCTATAAAAAAGAACGTTAAACATAAAAATGTCTTTAATAAATAAATTGTCGGACTTTGTCCATTTCTTAATATATGACGTCATTTGTTTACATTTGATACGCCAGAGCAGTTATGAATGTACGAGATTCATGGAAGATTGAAGTTTATAAGCAGTAAATTCGACCTTGCCTACCGAACGCTCCTTTGTGGCCGAGACGGTAAGGCACGTCAGCGTAAATGACAGTTCCGTATAGGATGCAGGTTCGAATCCTGTGAAAGGACGAATATTTTCTATGAAAATTTCTCGGACATTCAGGCCGGTAAATGTTATTTAATACTGTTTATTATAAACAGAGCATTTACTTAAATACTTGTATCTATAAAAAAGAACGTTAAACATAAAAATGTCTTTAATAAATAAATTGTCGGACTTTGTCCATTTCTTAATATATATATATGGTTCAAAAGTTATTTTAGTAGATACGCGTATTTGAATAGATGCGTTATTTTTTTTAAACTAGTGTGCACTACGTCTACCCCTATAGGCGTCAATCTAAGCACGGGTATCGACTAAATATAACATATTAAGTAATAAAAATGGCGGATTAAAAATAAAAGTATTTATTCTTTAGAAAAAAATAGTGGAAGATTTTGAGTGTTTGATACACCCCACATACATACATACATATATACATACATACATGCATACATAGTGGAGGCACGGTGGATTAATGGATAGTGGCTCGGATTGAGAAATCGAAAAGTCGAGTTCGAATTCCAGTCGAATCCATTACATTCACTTGGGTAAGATAGGAATCCTCTTCCTCTAAATTGCAGTATTGGATGGCAACTGGTCTAGGAGAAGGACAACTCTGAATTCAAAACCTGCGGAGGGTCGTTTGGGGACCTTGTGGCACACGTTGCACAAGGTCTCTGTATTCGGCTTTTTTACACAACACAAACACTTCACAACTATAATCAATTCACATGTGCATGTTGTCTGACTGTCGGTTCCTAGGAATAAGAGCGCCCGTTAGGCGATCAACGATGGGAGATTCCGCAAAAGATACATAATGAGCGAGAGACAATGAGAGTACACCTCACACACATAGATAGATAGATAGACAGACCGATAGTGAGCGAGAGACAATGATGGAGAGAGTTTTTGTGAAAAAGAAAGAGAGAGCGATATACGAGTTTTACCCGGAAAGTAACAACTATTTTAAATAAGTTTTTTGATCTTCCTTAAAACCAATCTCTTATGAGATCTTAATTCGTATCTTTGATCAAGCATTTGGGTTTATTTATTCAACGGTGAGGTCACATTGAGTGAACTTGTACGCTTTGTGATTGTTCCATTCACAATGACCAAGCAATGAGATTCTTCACGCTTCGTGAACGGATTCTTGGTAAATTCACACCATCCGCGATTTTCAGGAGATACGCAAACAAAACTTCATCTTCGATTTGTCTTTATGCGACCTCTGGATTTTCCGAAATTCAAGATTGCTGTTGAAGAACCGTCGGGAACGTGACGGAACCGTTGTGAATGATCCTAAAGAGGATTTTTCAGATTGTTTTGGAAAGAGACAAAAAAAATAAAAAATAAAAAAAATAAAAAATAAACACTGGTATAAGTGTTTGTTGTCATCTATAGACTATTTTGAAAAATAGTCTGCACCTTTCGTTGATTTTTAGGGCAGACCTCACCGAGTTCAACACCGAATGGCGACGGTCTGTTTCATTCCTGAATGCAATCTTCAGGCGTTGTGTGTTGGGTTTTGGTTCGACTATTTATATATGCTGGTCAAGTTCTGTTGTATTATCCTAAGGATTATTGGATAGGCAGTAATGGTTATATTTCAATTTATTATAAAGTCTACATAGTAGACATTTTGTAGATCGACATATTGTTAATTGTAGCTATTTTATAACGTCGTTCGTTATTTTTTATATTATATTATATTTATATTGTATTTATATTATAGCTATATTTATATTATATTTATATTTTGTTAACTTCTTTTATCATTGTTTATTATTGATTAAATAATTATTTGTTGTTGATTACACTGGTCAATATCAAATTTATTGTCTAAATATTTTAGCTGATTTAGGACCATTTTGATGTATTGAATCCAAAAATCACATTGGTTTTGCTCAATCAGGTCAACTTTTGAACTATGGCTACATGCTGTTTTTTTACGTTTTTGTTTCTGTTGTCATGCCCATTGAAATATCTAAATATCTTTTCACACAATAAAACTAATTATTATGTTAATTATAAATGTATTAATTTTAACACATCAGAAGTTTTTTCAGCTTCATAAATATTAAAACACGCCTCCGAAATATTTATAAACAAATAACACGTAATAGGATAGTGGCTGTTTCACTTAATTGTGCTAGGCTTTTCCAGGATTGATGATGGAGAAGTTGAAAGCTGTCATCATTGATGGTCCTTAAATCCGTCGCCTCATCAGATATCCAGAGTTTGAAAACTCAATAAACGAAGTGGAACTTGATGCATAGAAGGCTTTTGTTCTGGTCGTGAAGAATTTTCTTGGCAACAACAAGCCCAGAAACTCCACAGAACTTGTCATCAATATACTACCTGCTTTCAGAAACCTCAGATGCAATATGAACATCAAAATGAATTATTTACTTTCACATATGGATCGGTTTACTGAGAATTTGGGATCAATGAGGACAAACAGTGAGGAGAGATTCCACCAGAACCTGAAAGAGATGGAGACCAAGTATCAGTGACGCTGGGATGCAGTCATGATGGCTGATTACTGCTGGATTTTGAAGAGAGAAACCCCTGTCGCTGATCATTCTAAAGATTTGAATGAATGGAATTTCAAGCTCTGAATTTTGAACAATGATGGCGTAACATGCAATTTAAATGTACTTACATTTATCAATTTATACTATTCAATTTATTGTAATCGATGTTTCTCACAATTAATTTTAGAAAACAGTTATTCTCTTAAAAACTTATTTTCTATGATATATATATATATATATATATATATATATGCACGCTACAACATACTCACCTATGAAGACCATTTTTTCACTTGGTGGGTAGTTTTTTTTGTTTTTGTTTAAATTCAGAATGTTATTATTTCCATCAGGTTTACTCGAGCTAACACTCTGCTATTAGGCCCGTCAGTGATTCTTTTACAACCTCTCTTACACACGAGGCAAACATAAAATTTGTTTGTGCTACCTGTGTTAGAAATTTGATATATATATATATATATATATATATATATATATATATATATATATATATATATATATATATATATATATACACACACACACAAACACAAACAAACAAACACACAAAAAAACTAGTTAAAATAAGATAAAATTTAATATCTTAAAATAATACAGTTAAATGAAACGTCAAACACTCAGCCGGTTAACGGGAATCACGTTTAGTCTCGTTAATATAGATTATTTGATTGTGAAATAAAATTTTTTATTTTATGACATTTTTGTCATATATATATATATATATATATATATATATATATATATATATATATATATATATATATGTTATATCACTTACAATCTGCTATATTCAGAGGCCCAAAATGAGAAGTAGATTTATTCTGCATATATATATATATATATATATATATATATATATATATATATATATATATAAGTATGCGTTTGAGTGCAATATTGTGTGGGCACCCGTCAGCCTCTCTTGTAAACAGATTAGAAGTAAGTTTGATATTGATAAATGTGTTTATGAATTTTTTGTCGTCAGTTTGTCAACTCTTTGAATCTCGACAAAATACATGACTTTCATCTTTTGGCATTGAGTCTCAACAAATTTTTATATTAGCACCGACTGACTTGCATTTCAAGTGTGAAATCAATTTTGCGCTTGCTTCTTTTCATTTGCATTTTTATTTTTTTTTTGCAGCATTTGGAAGTTGAGTCATTTTCTTTTTTGCTTAAAGTCCGAGTGATTTTGTTTCACTTTTTCTCCTGTTTATATTTTTTCTAGCGTTATACTGAGGTACCTGAGGTAAATTAGATAGATAGATAGATAGATTGCAATAATAAAAAGATTGTGTATGAGCCCCTACCAAAAATGCGTCGATGAGGGCATTACTGGAGGATAAATCTTTCAAAATAAAGTGCTTAATATTAAGAATTAGAGAATTAAAATTAAGATTTTTTTAAAAAATCTGAATTTTTTTTATTCTAATTTGCTTAATCTATGAATTAATAATTTTTCAAGTGACCGACTTCAGAGTTTCATGTAAATCCGTTCATCAGTGCCAGAATATGCATTAGATCTTTTGAATTATTACTAGATATCATTATTATTATCCCAACAATTTCCTGTACTTTGTCGCCTTGAGTAAATTTCTTTCCGTTTTTGTTATCTCTCCTAATCCCAGTTCAGCCAACAATTTATACGGGGTCATTAGATAAGTTATGTGCTGCTTTCATTTGTCCCTTTGGTTCAATATGTCCTGTGAGTGTCAAATTTTCTAATCTCTCTTTCCTCATTGTGTGCCCTAGAAATTTCAAATACCTCGTTCTAATGGTAAGTATAAGCGTCACATTGTTCAGCCCATGGAATTGTTAGCATCCTTCGGTAGAATCACATTTATGTTGCCCCAAGTCTCTTCAGCATCTGTGAGGTGAATACCCAGCATCCACCTCACAGATGCTAGGAGGACTGATATTATATAACAGTTAAGTACAAATTTGCTTATATTACATTAATTTCTTTATTCTGGTTTAATCCGGATCATGTTTTTCTACCCCTGACTTTTCTTGGTCGTCTGTGTTACACTTTTTGCGATTAATTGTTCTTATGCTTTAGATATATACGTTATATATATATATATATATATATATATATATATATATATATGTGTGTGTGTGTGTGTGTGTGTGTGTGTGTGTGTGTGTGTGAAAATATTTAGAAAATAGGAAAGAACATGTTAGGTAAATAATCCAAAGTTCTTTAGTATTTTTGTTATTATTTTTAAAAAACTGTGCTCGATAAAAAAAGTAGAGCCTAAATATAACTATTTATTTAAAAATATGATTCCATCGCTACATAAGAGTTTTTCATGTTTCAAAACAAGAGCCGAAAACTTCAATATAATTATTTGAATTAAATTGAATTAAGATAAACAAGCTCTGTTCCATCTTTAAAATTTTGAGTTATTCCCCCAAAAAAAATTATATTGAAGATTTCAGAGCTCTTTAATTTTGAAAAATAATTAGAACTTTCGGCCTTGTTTTGAAACATGAGAACTCTTATGTATGGAATCATATTTCTGAATAAATAATTATATATATATATATTTAAATAATAATTAATAATATGGTAATTTAGTGCTCTTCAATACTAGCTTTATTTACCATTTCGCTGGGAAAATATTCATTTAACTTGAACATTTTAGGAACTTCATCTCATGAATAATCATTAGAATAGTTGATTTTACTTTTTTGTGATTTTACATTGTTTTTGACTATAAATGCATATATATATGTGCGTGCGTGTGTGCGTGCGTGTGTTTGTGTGTGTGTGTGTGTGTGTGTGTGTGTGCGCGTGCACGCGGGCGCAAAAGTAGGTATACAGTAAAAAAAAAGTACCCCCAAAACGTATTGGATTGATTATACAAACATATCAATATAATACTGGTATTATATTTACTGTATACCTACTTTCGCTGATTATATATATATATATATATATATATATATAAATGATAACACTAAAGTTTGAAGGTATGTTATATTTATGGGTAAAAGTGCACAATGTCAGAGATAGACCTTATGTAAACATAAAAGTGAACACTGAGGTCAACATGAAACGTCGACAGTTCGTTTCATGCTTTAATGCTTTCTTTAGGCCTGAATATTACGTTCAAGCACGCACACACACACACACACACACACACACACACACACACACACACACACACACACACACATATATATATATATATATATAAAGGAGTTAATAGATTAAAATGTGTGTTAAACATCACCTTTATCATCAACTTCTTGGGAGTTATTTTATCTTTCATCAGTTAGACATATTCGCTGTTCTTTGCTTACTTATTGTTCTAAGTTACTTTATATTTACAGTTGCTTGGAGTCCATATATTTTGCTTTAGGCTGCCGAGAAGTGTTTTTGCTCGATAATATTGATTCATATCATTGCTTTGTTTCTTTATTTTTACCATCTGCTTGCATGAACTTTCTTAGATTTCTTCATATTGCTTCATGTACGTTTTATTACTTTGCGCTATTTACTATAGCTTTAAATTGATTTATGTGTGTCTAAGTTGATTTAGTATAACCTTATATTGTTTTTATATTGATTTAAGTTCTTTAATGTTTTTCTAATCAGCTACAAAGGCTAACGAGGTCGTCTTTGCATGTTTCTATAGATTTTTCCACTTTCTATCTATTTACTTTGATTATTTGCTTTCATTCAATCGATTATGTCGCGTGAAGACACTTATCACACACCCACACACACATACATATACATATATGTGTGTGTATGTATGTGTGTATGTGTGTGTGTGTGATTATATGGGTATTGTATATGTGTGTGCGTCTGTGTGTTGCTGTGTGTATCCCTCTCTCTTTCTTCCTCTCTCTCCCTCCTTTCTCTCTCTATCTATCTCTCTCTCTCTCTCTCTCTCTCTCTATATATATATATATATATATATATATATATATATATATATATATATATAAAGGAAAAAAACTACCCATCATTTATCTGTTAGAGATTATACATCATATTCGGTCTCTCATATATATATATATATATATATATATATATTAATCTTTTCACTACAAGCAAGGTGATAATACCAATAACGCGCAAAGGGGTTACAGAGAGTGAAAGAGAATGAGAAGGTTTTAGTTATAAGAAAGAACCATGATGGAAGATTGTTCAGAAAGAAAGAAGATGGCGATTGTTACACTTAATCTAAATGCATATTCGCGGCCCTCATCCGAAACGTCGACCTTACAGTATCGTCTTGATGTAGGAGAGATTGCCCTATTAAATGCTCTGGTGGGCGTTTATATGTCTATCACTTTCATGCGATTCTTTTTCACGCGTTCATCTAGGTGCAACTGCATCGATAGTTGTTCGCCTGTCAAAATTGCCAGTTACTTTGGCTGAATAGTAGATCTACATCACCGACTAAGAAGCCATATTAGCCTAGACCTGTTACTAGATTCTCGGAAGTAGACTGAGCGCAAAGTCTAATCTAGTATCGTATAGTGCGAGACACATACTATAAGTGTTACTACGTTTCAAGATGATTAAAAACTTCGAAAATTACTTACTAGCTTGCATAAATTGTACCCATGTCAAAATATGTATCGTTCTTAAGTGCTTTATAATTATATTTTCTACTAAAGAAGATGAAAATTCCTTCGGTTAAATATGTATATATATATATTTTTTTTGCTCAAGTGACTGAAGCCGAGATGCCAGGCCAGGACTAATAGCATTGCAGATTCTTCTTTGAATGTTAGCAAGAATTTCTAAATACATAGCAGAAGCTCCAGACTAGTTGTGACAGTAATATTCATTGCAGGGGTGAATGGTTGACATATATGTGTAATATAGATTCTATCAATAAGAATTATCTAGCACAACACAGTGGACCATGTTTCCTAGCAGACCTATCAATTGATTCAATATAATCTTTTCATGTTATGTCATCGAAAAATGTTAATCCTAGAAGGCGCAATGAGTCACTGTCAAGGAGGTTAGCATCAGCCATGATGGAAGGCAAAAAGGGTTCTCCCAGTCGATTAAAAGAGAGCAGTTTTGTTTTGGACGTGTTTAAATTAGCAAGCCATTTCTTGCCCCAGTTAACAACAGATTGTCGGTCATTTTGAGATCAGTCACCGAGAACAAATTTTTGCTGAAAAAAAATCAGGGAGAATGGAGACATGACTGTGTTGGTTAGAAAACACAGCCCCTAATTTGATCAAATGAAAGCATTCATAGAGCAAAACAGTAAATATATTTTCAATGTTAAGATAAACCAGTATTTAATTACAACCGCAAATAAATAGTTAACAAGAACAAAGAAGTAAAAGTCAACGAAAGATAATTAACCATTTCAGTGAATACCTGGTTAGTAGCTCGGGTCGGCTTAACGTCCGGTAAATCCTAAATCAAAACCCCAAATCACAATAATTCACACTAATTCGACTAGATAGTTCCACTCAATAATCACTTTTAAAATGTTTACCACCACGACCATGGCAAGCATTGGGTATTGACAAAGGTGTATAATCTTTTTTCAATGCTCACTTAGGTGTTGCAGAAAGTCTATGAAGACAAATGAAGTAATGTTGCAGTAATTTCTGAGCGTTTTCAGAATAACACCAAACCCGAACCCGAACCTCGGTGTCGCTAGTTACTCATTTTCTTCTGAGATGACACATTGTATTAGTTCTGATGAGCTTTGGTAACTCGAATTTAAGCGCAGTACTAGATTGGCAGCAAGGTTTCATCATTCTACAATTGAATTGTCGATATATAGCCGTAAGTTCTATGCTAACAGTTTCTTCTTGCACACTTCACACTTGTGGAGCTCTCTTCAAGCCTCTTGCTTTCCTGTTAAATATGACCTTCGAAAATTTAAATGCAATGTCAATCGTTATTGACAAAAGGTCGAATAATGTAAATAGTGTAGATAGTTACAATACCTAATCTATTTTTATATATTATCTCTTTGTACAAATAATATATTTATATAAACAATGTATTTGTTTAATGTATTTGGGAAAACTATATTTCTAGTAGTAATGTATTTTACAATGTATTTAAACAATGTATTTTAATAAACAACGTATATGTATAAATAATAACTCTGTATGATCCGAAGTTTCAACACTTACATCATTAATGTAATAATAGTCAAGACTGATTCAATGGCTGATATTTTATGATCTGCTGAAGTCTGTCAATATCATAATAAAAGAATAGAAATGATGATGAAAATATAATAGTGAATATTATATAGCATAAGCAAACGTGTTGTACAAGATTATGCAATGGTTAACTATGGACACTGGATCATTAATATCTCGCAGCAGAACAATATTAAAATAATAATGATTTTAAGAAATAAAAGAGAGGTAAAACGTTAAAATACAATGATAAAAGTTAAAGGAATTATAAAGTTAAAAGGGAAAAAAATAGAAATGTATTTTCTTTATTCCTCTACTTTTATACATTTCAGTAGGATTCTAGGGTGATCCCACCCTAAACAAAGTCGTGTATTGTTCTGTTTTCACGAAATTCAATTCAAGTCAATGTAACGTTTATTTTTAATAAAATTTTAAATTATTTTTTTAACTGCGATTTTATTTTTTAACCCTAGAACACTAACCATGGGCAAATAATACCCAGCGCAATTTTTCCTATTTTTAATTACAATTTTCAGTACCTGATTTTCTTACCTAAATAATGTTTTTCAGTTGCTATTAATGTTAACTCAAAGTACAAAGTTTGAAGTGCCTGCATGTAAAATATTTCAAATAAAGATTTATATTTAATATTTTTTGATATTTTCAAAATCGGGTATGTTATATCCATGGTTAGTAGCGGTGTAACTTTAATTGATGGTTAGTGTTCTAGAGTTAATAAATCGAAAATATTTAAAATGTTATATTCATGCCTTACAGTCACTGGAGAAGTAATGGTTTGAAACAACCGATATATAGTACAAGATTTGTTTATCTCTGATTATTTTAGCAAAAAGTATACCATTGCACTTATTAAATTTGCATTGTATGCTTGTGCTAATCTGAGCTGAAACAGCAATCTTTTGAAATAGACGCAAATACGCAACAGAACTCTCAATATAGATTCCTCGAAATAATCCTTTGCCGAAATATAAGCCTCATCTTACTTGCATAAATATTAAATCGAGGATTACATGAAATTCTTCATATAAGCATTGGATTTAAAAATATGACTGTTTAACAAATATAGGTTGTCTCTACATAGGGCTCTCTGAAACATATAAGGAGGTCAAACGAACATTCTTCTTTTTCTATGTGACGTTTCCTTTCAGGACAGGAGTGATCATGGCTCTCCACAATTTCGTATCATTTGTAACTGTTAGCAATGTTTATCTTTTTACCCCCCCCTCTCTCTCTCGTCATCTATTTACTCAATCCTGTTAGGTAGGTTACTGACTATTCCCTTCAGTCCTTCTTGCCATCCCTATATGCTGTGCGTGTCAAAATTTCAAAGTGCCCTTTCCTTATTGTGTGTCCTAGAAATTTCATTTGTCTCTTTCTGATTTTCTGGTGCTCCTGATGTATATTTAAAGATACTTGATAAAATCTAAAGAAGAATTTGTAATGCTATTGGTCCTAAGAATATCAGTTACTTTTCCTGCCGCCGTAATATAGCTTCCCTGTGCCTTTTCTATAAATAATTTTATGGTAATTGTTCTGATGAACTTTTCTCTATGGTTCCTAGACTTTATGAATTTAAGGGCAATTCTAGATTGGCGGTTAGGTCTCATCATTTTACTGATGAAATGGATAGATGCAACCGTAAGTTCTATGCTAACAGTTTCTTTTCTCACATTTTACGCTTGTGAAACTCTTTCCGGTTAACTTTTTTTAATGCAGTGTTAATCGTTATCTTCTGTCTTCTTAATTCCTGTTCTTTTATTGTTCTCTCTCTTTAATAAGCTTTTTTCTTTTTCTTCTTACTGTTTCACACTCAGGAACCCATTGTGTCTTAGAGGCTTTATTGTCTTTCTTGGACTGAAATGATTATGCAGTAGGATTAGGTAGTAGTAACACCATATGAAGATATACACTTTCCTTTTCCCTAAGAGAGTGACAAAGAAAACTCTCTCTCTCTTCTCTATTACACATATTTCCTTTCCTTCCTTCTATTGTTCCTATCCCCAGTAACTGACAGAACCCGGACATAGCTTATGCGGGTCAGTGAACGTCATAAAAAAATCAACTAATGACATGTCCCGCCAAAAATCAAACGGAAAACCCAATAAAAAGAAGAGAACAACGCGTGCGCGAGAGAAGCAGAAGAAGTTGGAAATTGGTTCGATGTAGCAGTTTGAGATGCAAGGGTTGTAGATTCATCGGATGTTGAGTTTGACTGGACGTACAACTCCAGAAGAAAAAGAAGAAGAAAGGATGAATTCCACAAATTAATTTTCGTCAGCCAAAAACACAACGACCCTGTATGAACTCTCTAATCACAAAAGGACTAAGACGATAGTCACTCACTTCAACCACTGTACCTAAATGGAGCCAACAATAAAAGGGTACTATAGTCAGTAAATTTGGTCTTTACTTATATATTAGCCCAACCTTCATCTCTATATACCATAATTAAAAAAGTATAAGTCTTGATTTTGTTCCTGTTTTCGCTCAAACATCCTCTTTACTCACATGTTTACAAAATTGTATTCTCAGAATCCTTCTGTAGAACCACTTTTCTGTTAGTTGGAGTCATTTCTTTGAGGAGATTGTCTAAAATTCACTTCCATATAGGAATATTGATATCACATAGGAGTTCAACACACTTTTCTTTTAATCACACACGCACCTGTCGCTGTTCTTTATGTCAGTGAAAACTACAAATAGTGGCGTTGGCAATTAACTCCAATGTTTTATCCTTTGAGGTACAATTCAAAAGAATTCACTGATGCTAGAAGAAATAAGAAAGAGATAGATAGATAGAGAGAGAGAGAGGGAGAGAGAGAGAGAGAGAGAGAGAGAGAGAATACATCCAATTCCTTTGTATATTTTAGAGGTTTTGTTTTCTACATAAATTTGTGAGTAGACGTGTTTCATTCTTCTTAACTTTTTGTTTGCTTTATGAATATTTTTTCTCGGATATTGTAGACAAGAGATTAAAAATCCTGGCAAAGAGTTTTCTTTCTAATTAGGAAATCAAACACGTATAAGTTGTCATTTTATTACCTGAAATCGGAGATGAAAGTAGAAAGAGGAAAAAAAAACAGGCTTTTACACACGGTGGGTTTGTAGGATCACACATAGACATAAAAACATAATATATCAACACACGCACACACGCACGCACACACGCACGCACACACACACTAACACACAGAGGAAGAGAGAGCGAGAGAGAGAGAGAGAGAGAGAGAGTGAGGAAAATACTAATTTAAACTATACACGCGCACATACATTCAAATATATATAAAAGAAAATCGATTTGTGTGACCTGAATGATTATGTTATTTTCGACTAATTTATCTTTAGTAGTCTACATAATATATATATATATATATATATATATATATATATATATATATATATATATATATATATATATATATGGGAGCATTTAATTGCCTGTTCTGAGTAAAATATTACTCAAAAAAAAAAAAAAAAGGAAGAAAAAACCTAGTTAAAATTAGATAAAATTTAATATCTTAATACAGTCAAGCACTCAGTCGCTTAACAAGAATCACGTTTAGCTTCGTTAATATAGGTTGTGATTGTGAAACAAAATACGTTTATTTTATATATATATATATATATATATATATATATATATATATATATATATATGTTATATGACTTACAATCTGCTATATTTATGAGGGAAGAGGCCTCAATATGTGAAGTAGATTTATCATATATATATATATATATATATATATATATATATATATATATATATATATATATATCAGTATGTATATATATTTATAAATTTAATATCACTATCTTTCCTGAACGAAATTGCGTTATAATGCAAAATATTCCTTTTTCTTTACTTTTTTGTATTATTTCAAAATAATTTCATCAAGGTTTGTTGAGAAACTTCGTCATGATAATTACATAAGACCGAATATCAAATGGCTAATCTTAAAAAGAAATCAGTAAACATTGATGCAAGAATATCTCTTCTACTTTCTATAATATTCTTAAAATGAGTTTTGATTCGAATCAATCGAAATTTCGCAATATTACTCCTTGACCTTTTTTTATCATTCCCGCATTATCGACATTGACCAGTCGACCGAAGATACATAATCTGGTACATTATTCATTAATGAATCATACACACATGGCCGTACAAACACATATATATATATATATATATATATATATATATATATATATATAATGTGTGTGTACGTGTGTATGAGGAAGAGGAGGAGGAATTAATGAAAATTTCTCGGTACGATGCGCTTGAAAAAATCGGAACAAATGGCCAGAAGTAGTATTTGTAATCATTTCTTTGCACTCCTTAACCCATATATATATATATATATATATATATATATATATAACTCCATACAATCAAAACCTGGTTTGATGTTGGCACATTTTAGCCTTTTCTGATATATATATATATATATATATATATATGTATGTGTGTGTGTGTGTGTGTGTGTGTGTGTGTTTAGTTGTGCGTGCGCTCAATTATGCACAGGACTAATTTTTCTCATGTTACATATATTTAATAATAAATTTCGTTGGTTGATTTTGTTTGGCAGCATATCATCCTGTATGTTTTATTTAATGCCGAAATCAAAATATTTTGAACGCAACGCTATGCCTTTATCTACAGATAAAATGTATTGGTGGCCATTTTGCTATAAATATGTACTGCTGGTAGTTTCAATATAACAATGTATTCCTGGCATTTTGAGTATAAAAATGTACTTTGATACTTTTATAGCGATTTTTTTTGAGGGGTGGTTTCATTATTTGCTCATAACTGGGACCCTGACAGGTGCTACCACCCCGGGTCAGGGTGTACCTGGAAACAAAAGCAGTTAAGGCCTTGCTGCCGAATGTAGTTTATAGTCATACCCAGGACTATTACAATGAATCAACACGCCACCGGAAGCAAACGCGTGTAGCTAACGCGATATTTGGCAAAAAAACTGCATAACACTCAGCGACTCATGAAGAAGGAATATACAATAGACACAACAATAAAAATAAAATTATCATGAAAGCCGAAAGCCATCAGAAGATATCGAACAATTTATGCTGAAATAATTCCTAGAAATCAGAAAATTCATTAGAAACGTCAAAATAATTACATTAAGAATATAAGCAAAGAATTATTGTTGGTCCTCAATTAATGTGCTATGCGTGAGCGTGTGTGTGTGCGTGAGTGTGTGCGTGCATGTGTAGAATTAGATAAATATGTGTGTGTCTGCAGGATCTCTCTCTCTCTCTCTCTCTCTCTCTCTCTCTATATATATATATATATATATATATATATATATATATATATATATATCTTTTCATTCATAAACAGGTTCGGGTTTTTTTTATATTATTTGAATTGTTTGCCACGATGGATTTCTCGCCAATTAAATCATTAACCTTTTATTTTTTTTTTTTTGAATAATTAATAATATATATATATATATATATATATATATATATATATATATATATATATATATATATACGTAAAAGAAGTATGACGTGTATATGTGTATGTGTGTGTGTGTGTGTCTGTATCTGTGTGTTTGTGTCCATAAAGGATTTGTTGTCATGTTCCAATACAGGAGTTTAATGTACCTAGTTTTAAGTATAGCTAGAATAACTTTTAGATAATATGTGTATGTGATTCTGTTTTTACCTTTGTGTGTCTATGTTTATATTTTCGTATTCTTGTTAATATAAGCAAATATAAGCAAATATAAGCAAATATAAGCAAATATATAATTATTATATTATTCTTTAGCATATATTACATGTTGATTTTCATACATGTTAATTTGCATATATAATGTTAACTTTTGGAAGTAATAATGGATTTATATGGGACTATGTATATAACAAACTAAATAAATATAAGAAAGAAGTGATTTTATTGGCTATTCTACTTTTTAAACAAATCACCCCAAACAAGGTGATAAAGCCACTAAAACGCAAAAGGCGCTTGATAATTGAGAAAACACATCCAGAGATTCCATCACTGCATTGTTTTTTGTGGCATCCCAATATGTCTTTGCTTGTCAAAGACCTTTGATATATGTTAGGCAACTGCATTGCTAATGAATTTATTGTCTAGTGCCTCACTGATCCTGTGTGTAATGATAGTTATGACATCATCAGTTGACCTAAAAGATCAAAATCTATAATGTTTGTCGCTCAGATAGATAGATAAATAGATAGATAGATCTTAAGAGACGATAGGTAGCTAGCTAGCTAGCTATTTAGATAGATAGATGGATGGTTAGATATGGTTCAAATACAGGAGTGTAGCGAAAGGAAAATCTTCCATAAAACAATCTAATGTTTGTTCAACTTTTGAGCAGTTGGTCAGATTCAAAACATTCAGCGCCATTTTGTGTATATATATATATATATATATATATTTTGTATGTATGTATATATATATACATGTATATATATATATGTATGTATATATACATATATATATATATATATATATATATACATACATACAATATATATATATATATATATATATATATATATATATATATATATATACAGGGTGTCTATAAAGTTCTTGTGCACTTTAAAAATTTATAACTTTATTTGTATTTGCAATAGAAATAATCTGTAAAAACATTATAAAGTTTAATGTACCTAGTTTTAAGTTTAGCTAAAATAACTAATGTGATTTCAGGCATTACTGTAAATCAGTTGGCAAATTTTTTCCGTGAACCGCAAAATCGTATTACCCTTTGTATTGCTAATGATGGAGGACATGTGGAAACTTAAATAAACTTTCAATAAAACCTTAAAAATATAGATTTACTTCTTTCTAATGCTTTTTACAAATTATTTCTATCGCAAATACAAATAAAATTATAAATTTTTAAAAGTGCACACGAACTTTATGGACACCCTTTACATATATACAAGGGGCCGACACTATATTTGGGACACTTTGAAAAGTGTGATTAAAGGTGTTTTTGCTGCTGAGAGCTTTTGTGTTGATGAGTAGGTAGTTCTCCAATAACTGTCCATTAATGGTATGAACATTGATTGATGGGTTTGTCTTTGGTTTCATGTTTTCTTTATTTTTACTTCCACTTAGACGACACTATTTTTCGGACATGACACACATTCCGGGTTTTTTAATGATTTAGTCGTCGAACGTCTACAATATGCAAATTTTCTACATGTAAATTGTACCTTGACCATTACATTTGAGTATCTTTACCATTCACTGCGAAAACGTATTAAAATGCTGAAGAAGAATGTATTCAAAAGAATTCATCAGTTTGGTCCAAAAGAAGAGAAAGACAGGCTCACATCCAAAAGATCGCCGCTGAGATGAACTACCAAAGTCAACAGTTGAATACATGCTGGTACAGACTATGAGCGGAAGAAGAAGAAGAGAGGACGGAAAAAACAATTTCCAAGAGAACAGAAAGAAGAATGAAGAGGAGTGTTATGAGGTTGTTATCATCTGGAGAAAAGGTGACAGCGAAAAAAGTAAAGGAGAAGTGTGTTGACGTCAGTGTTCAAACTGTACAAAGAAAGCTACACAAAATTGGACTTAAGTATGCTAAAATCAAGAAAATAATTACACTAACGAGAAAACACAAGGAGGCAAGGCTGGGAAGGGTCAAAAGATGGATAACAAACCATGTCCACTTCAAGAAAGTTATATTTACTGATGAAAAACGTTTTAAGTTCGATGGACCTGACGGCTGGTGTACATGGTCGAGAAAAGGTGAACCTGTTATTCTCAACAAGAGACAGATGGGAGGAGCAGGAGTCATGGTTTGGGGGTATAGTATTTCGAATGGAAACTTGTGGCTCGAGTGGTTGAACGTCAAAATAGCTTGAACTACACAGAGAACTTTTTGGAAAGAGAGTCCTACCACTCATAGAAAAAGAAATGGGAAGTAATTTTATTTTGCAAGCAAGATAACGGCATCCATGTGGCCAACCAGTGAAAAATTGGATGTATGAACCAAATATAACTACTCTGGAATGGCGTACAAGAAGTCCAGACTTAAATTTAATTGAAAACATATGGGAAAAAGCTTGCAGGAAGACTTGTTTACGACGGGCCAGAAATAACCAGAGAGGTTGAACTGTGGCAGCACATACAAGATGCTAAAATAGACTACTAGAAAAACACGAAGAGACGTTATTATCAATATGTACGAACATTATGAAGATAGACTGATAAGAAGTCATTGAAAAAAGGGTGCTGCCATAAACTATTAGCATTGTTTTTCAATGTCCGAAAATGCTGTCGCCTGTGTTATGAAAATTTGTAAAAAAAATAAAATACTTCTAATTTGAATTCTGCTTTTCCATTTGTAGTATTGAAGCAGTTTTTTAAATGTTATTGTCATTACACTAAAGCAGTACAGACTGCCTGTGCTACCTAAAACTTGAAAAAATAAAGTGTCTAAAAAATAGTGTAGGCCCCCTGTATATAATGTATGTATGTATGTATGTGTGTAGAAATAGATAGATATGTGTGTGTCTGTAAGAACTATATATATACATATATATAAAAGACGAGAGAAACGTATGTATGTGTCTGTGTGAGCGTATGTGTGTGCGTGAGTGTGTGCGTGCATGCGTAGAATTAGATAGATCTTTGTGTGTCTGCAAGATCTCTCTCTATATATATACGTAAAGGGAAGCATGACGTGTATATGTGTATGTGTGTGTGTCTGTATCTGTGTGTTTGTGTCTGTAGAAGTAGATAGATAGATATGTGTGTCGATAAGTTCTATCTATCTATATATATAAAGAGAAGATATATATATATATATATATATATATATATATATATATATTATTTTAATCATGTGTGTGCGCGTGTTTGTGTGTGCGTTTGTTCAGCATTTTCTAAACGTATGCGCTAATTTTTGTATTCAGTTTATGAAATTGTTTGTATTTATTTGCCAATATAAAGGATTTTTATCTCCAGTCGTACAGTATGTGTGTGTTTTCGTATGTACGTGTGTGCATGGGTTCGTGTATCCAAGCGCATATTCGGCAAATATAATGTCTATACAATCTCTTGTCACATCTCGCTGATACGCTGCTTTTCAACTTTCATTGCTAATCTTGTGAATCTTTGCACAGCAACGAGACAAGGAAAAATATGGAGAAATTATGCAAAGCACAGAATTATAACAATTACATTTCTGCTATCGTGCATCGGCCATTTTCCTTTCTTCGCCTGACAAGGCAGAAATATAGTTTTATTTATTATTATCATTATTCTTTCTTCGAATATTACTATATATATATATATATATTTTTAGATTTCGGTCATCCTTAAGAGTAAGTCATCCGTTTAGTTTCAAATATGGACAAGATACATGACTCTTTGATGAGATTCACCGATACGAATAAACACATTTTTGTACGTATGTGAAATGAGCCCCAAAGATGATAAAGAAAAAGAGATATCATTTTGTCCTGTTATCCTTTGTATGCGTGCGTGCGCATGCGCGCGTGTGTGTTTTTTTCATAACGTGGTGTCGTTTCGTTGTTACTCTTTAAGTGATCTTAACAGATGAATGAAAAGTTTTTCAAAGCGCCAGAATAAATAGAAAAAACATAAGAAATATGTCATATAAAATAATAATAAAATTACATATAGTAGTAGTAATAATAATAGTAGTAGTAATTGAAAAAGAAATAAAGTATTAATAATAATTAGCGTAATAATAATAATAATAATAATAATAAAACTGAACTTGACGCAGCATTACTGATTGTAGCTAAGATTACGTGATTAGAAAGTAAGAGATTGAAAAGGTTGTGAAAAACAGAAGAAAGAAAATGAAAAGAGAAATAATAGGAGAGAGGGTGACAGAGTAGGAATTGTGGTAACGTAAAAAGAAAGAAAGAAAGAAAAAAGAAAGAAAGAACGTAGGAAAAGCAAATAAAAATGGAGTTCAAATATGAGTAAATAAGAAAGAAGGTAGAAAAAACAAAAGAAGTAATGAATAAGAAAGAGTAAATGAAAAAAAATAATATGTTAGAAAAGACAGAAAAAATAGAAAAAGAAAAGGAAACAAATAAAAAGAAAAGAAAGATATTCAGAGAAAAATAAAAACTGTTATACTATATACTACTACTACTACTACTACTACTACTACTACTAATAATAATAATAATAATAATAAACGCAAAAGAAAATCTAAGCAAAAGAAAAAGTTATGTTCTGTCTTGTCATTGTCAGAGGTTAGGATGCGGGTAGAAAACATGAGCATCGTAATGTAAAAACAGACCAGTATCTTTAAGAGATTTTATCTTGTCTGTAAAGAGTAGATATTTTGTAGAAAACTGTCCGCTAAGGGAAATAGATTCATAATAAATGGATTCAGTAAAAAAAAAAAAAATAATTGGGAAACGAAAGAAACAGAATTTCACACGAAAAGATTTGATTGCGTAGAATAAAGCAATCAAAGCTAAAACAATAAATATGATAATGTTAACAAATACTGTTTGTTACGATGGCAGTAATGATAATTATGATGAACGTACGAGAAAAATAAACGGGAAATATATAATAATAATAATAACAATAATAATATAATAATAATAAGTATGATAATAAATTAATACAATAATAATATAATGATAATATAATAATAATAATATAATAACAATAAGTATGGTAATAATAATAATAATAATAATAAGTATGATAATAATAAAATATATCTACATAAACTATAATGAATAATAAACGTATATTATAAATTCTAACGCCGCTAGGTCCTTTATAATTTCCCCCTTAGTAAATCGCTATTTTGGGCACTTTGATTTTGTGCAATGGTTAGCAATCTAGTTTCGCTAGATCAATTACGACTGAGTAGTGAGTTCGATCTTCAAAGGGTGCTCTATACTTCGGCCTTGTGCCATAACTAAGTTACGCTTAGAAAATCAATGCAAATTATAATGTATGTTTTCATAATAATTATAATATATAACTTAATTGAGAATTTCCAACCGTGAGTCCTGGTTACAACATTCATGGTCGATTTGTCAAAGACGTGAGTTCATGGTAATATCAGTATAGGGAAACGATCCCATCGTGTACCACTGTTGGGAAATGTCAGAAAGTTATACTATATGTTGAAACAATCCTTGTGAATTAAATTAGATGGAGTAAAACTCTTCTGAAGGCGACGATAATTGAAATAGTACGATGTCATGTCACCATGACCTCAATCACATCAGATTAAGCACACTCTCCCAGGAACTAGAGTTTGTTCAGTATATTTGCACTATGAATCACAGGTTTATTCTGTAGACGCACAATGTGCCTGAGCTGGCGTCTGCAACAACCCAGCCATTAAATATTTTAAGATATACCAACAGAGTAGCCATGAAAGGCTTCTGCTAAGAATCGAAATACTTTTTAATCATTCCCTCCCTCCCCAATGCAAAGCAGTAAATCCACAGAAGGTAACTGAGTGTGAAGGAATAAGAAAAAAAGAGAAATATTATTAAGGAGAGGGAACAACAGAAAAGTAATCAAGAAGACAGAAGATAATGATTGACATGGAATTTAATTTTTTTTTAGATCAAAGTTGGATAGAAAGCATAGGATCACAAGAGAGTTCCACAGGCGAGAAGTGCGAGAAAAGAAACTGCTCGTACAGAACTTACGGTTACATCTAGCCAATTCAAATGTCAATTGATGAGACCTTGCTGCCAGTCTAGTACTGCGCTTAAAAGTCTAAATACCATAGCGAAGAGGTCATCCGAACAATTTCCATGAAAATATTTAAATTACTATGAAAATATTTATAGAAAAGACACAGAGAAGATACGTTACGGTCCTAAAAAAAAAAAAAAAGAGTTGAGGCTTTTCGATCAAAAGTGGTTTTGTTTAAGATAAAATTTGCTAAGACAAAATTTTCACTGAAATGTCTGTCTTGCGTTAATTTATAAAAATTATTTCAAAAACTGAAATTATTCACACTTTTTGATTAATCAACATTTTTGGTAAAAGTTTTCTTTGTATGTGTTAAATGTATTATGTTTTAGTTTCAACAAAAAACTTATTAAATCTAACGAAGATTAAGAGAAAAACAATAGCAGCTGTGAAATTTAATTCTATAATTGCTGTAAATTTATGTAAGATCGACAGTGAGGTCGGATCAATTTGCTCTTAAAATCAAAACCTTTAATAGCTGTGAAATTTAATTCTATAAAGACAACAGAAATATAAAATATATTCACCATGTTCTGCAACTAACAATTGTTCGTCAATTGATTTACGAACTACAATATTTATTCATATGAAACTCATTGCACAACATTCGGAATAGCATTCCAAATTTAATCCTTTAAAATGTTTGGATTTTCTTGAATTATAGCTCCACAAGTGTTTTCTACAATCAATATATCTTAATACTATTTGGAACTCTCCCACCACCTCCGGCTGGTTGGCATTTAAACCTGTCACGGTGAAGCCGCAAATAGACATTCGTCTTTTGGTGGTGAAATTTGGGTCTAAAAATTTCTTAGTTTGCCAAAAACGGTATTTTATATAGTTTGTCTCTTTTGAAATAGAACACCTGTTGATGAGATAATATCCTGCATTTGGTTTTATAAGATCTTATTTAAAAAGGTTCATGATCATTAAAGTATTTCTAACGGTCATTTTTGTAATTTTCTACGTTGATATACTTTTGCAATCTCTGAATTTATTAAACATTTCTTTTGATCCTTCAAATCAGGAGTAGAAAGGATAAAGCAATGGGAACTCTGACAAAACTCAGGATTTGATCATGCTGAGTAGGAGATTTCTTAGTGTAACGCTATCATTGTAAAGATTAATAAAAATACAAGACTAAATCTTTCATACTTACTTATTCAATTCTGGACTTTGTCAGTTAACGCCGACATGAAAATGTTGTGTTCGTCTTGTCTGGTTTTCGCATGTCTACACATTCAGAGCACCTCCCTCGACTGAGAAAAAATTGGTGTTATATAGCTCTCTCAGTCTCAGACCCACACTGATTATTGGCTAATACCTGCTCGGTATCCTTCATGTGCATATAGCCAGCACCACCTACTCTAAGTAGAAAGTCCTCTCTCAGTAGTCCATTGTGAAAGGAGCACAACTCCTGGCGCTTACAGCATCACATACAACCAACTCGGAATGGGATCAGGCATATATCGACAGGATGAGGTCTTAGCAATGGGTTCGCCATTATCGCCAGCAATGGCGAATATATACATGGAATACTTTGAGGAAAAGGCATTAGAATCTATATCTCTAAAGCCAACTATATGGTTAAGGTACGTAGATGACACCCCTTCATACTCTCAATACACCAAGAAGATGTCCAAGTTCCAACTGGACCATGAATCAATAAGACCTTCGATACAGTTCATGATGGAGAAAGAGAGTAACAACACTCCATTCCTGGATGTTCTAATATCTCGAAATAGAGCATGGGTTCATGACATCCGTATACCGTAAACCGACATTCTCCGGACAGTACTTCAATTTCAACTCCCACCATCCATACAGCATAAAGAAAGGGATCGTCCGCTGCTTACAACACCGAGCAAAAGTCATAAGTGGCGACCCAGATACAAGGGATAAAGAATTGGTCAATATAAGGAGTACCCTACAACGTAGCAACTACCCTGGGTACATGGCAGCAGCCCCAATAAACTGGGATAGACGGGTACAAGAAGAGGACAACAATACTCAGAAACGGTCTTATGTGATGGGGTTATCAAAGAAAATACAAAGGATCTACGGTCCATCTAACATCAGGACAAACTTTAAAAGCAGGACAACACTTCGCAGATATCTCTCCCAAGTAAGACCCCCTCCCATAGAGGTGAACATGACTAAATATGTACGTTAATTTCGGGCAGCTGGAGAAAGAAATATAAAGGGGAGACAGGTCGCCTTGTTGAGTAAGTCTTCAGAACACCAGGTGCTGTTACACGAGGGAAGTGAAAAAAACAAGCGTGGCTGACCATATATGGAGAGAAAAGGGAGATCACCGGGATCAGGTTGAGATCATAAACAAAGAACACCATTGGACTTGATCCTCTGTTACAGATGCGCGATCTGGTGGAAAGCTTATTCAAACGTTGATCTTCTCAGCATCTCTCCGTATGCATCTGGAACTTTTGATGCTCTGGTATTACAGCGAATGCAAAGCGTACATCGATATTTCTTAGGGTGAACATATATCCACCACAGAACAACTCCTCTTATAAGAGAGAATCCCTTATTGATATTGATATTCAATGCAGACCTCTGATATCATGGCAAGAGTAATATACCACACTAGAGAAATGAAAATATAAAATTACATGGTTCTTTATAATTCAAATGGATCAGCCAATCAAGACGAGGAAACAAGATTTCGTCATCGTATACAAAGGGAAGCAACTCGTGGTTGTTATTGCGTGACACCATAATGAAAAACTGAAAGCAAGTGAAAATTAGAAATAATATCTGGATCTGACTAGAAAACTTCAAAATTTCAGAAAAGTGAAAAGGTTATTGATGCTTTTGGCCCAGTGCTGAAGAATTTTGCAAAGATTATCAAGGAATTTGGACTTCAAAGAAGTGTTTAGAAAATAACGAATAACTATTATTGCTCTGAAAAATCTTGCAAAGATTATCAAGGAATTTGGACTTCAAAGAAGTGTTTTAGAAAATAACAAATAACTACTGTTGCTCTTTGAAAACAGGACTGGCCACTCTAAAGGAGGCAGGCCGTAAATATGCCAGGAAATCCAAAGTTTGAAGTAAGAAGAAAACGAAAAGAATGGAAAGTGTCATGATGCCATTTCTCTAACTCCAGATCCTAGGCCGGGACCCGGAAAGAAATGTAAACGCCAGAAATCAAAGATAATAATAATAATAATAATAATAATAATAATAATAATAATAATAATAAATGTATTTTAATGTCGTATAAATTGTTACAAGTCCTATGTTACAGATATAGGACCTGTAATAGTTTGATGGGACTTTACAATACACACAGACAGAATAATCAAAGCTAATCTCTCAGACATCGTAATCAAAGACCACAAGAACAGAATGTGCCTTCTTATTGACATGGCAGCCTCTGTAGATTGTAATTTATTTTTGAAGATCTTCAAATATCTATCAAAATACAAGGACCTTGAAATCGAAATCTCAAAAATGCGACAACGATAATTCCAGTTGTAGTTGGAGCACTGGGTTTGACTGGAAAAGGTTCCAATAAACTCATTGACAGAATTCCTGGTAACCCACGCCTTAAAGAAATGCAAAAAAAAAAAAATGTACTCACAAGTATAGCTCACACCTTACGAGGGGTTTTACCTATGTAAAATGTGTGTGATAAGTTTTTTGTGTTCTTAATTTTCAAGAAATTCTGAGTTTAACATGTTATGATGCCATTTCTGACCTTAGGTCTCTGGTTGGGACTCGAAAAGAAACGAGTAAACAGCAGAAATCAAAGGAAATAAAATAATAAAAGATTGAATGGAAACCATCTTGGCAAGATGATCACTAAAATCAATGAAAGTTATGCAGATGTCATGATACTGGGTACAAACAGAGAAAGAAAACAGGAGTTACTTATAGACAAGATTAGCAAAGGAAACGAAAAAGAAAGGAATAAGGATCAATTGTTAAAAGACAGAACATTTGATCATTAGTGACAAAATAGAGTCGTCAAAATAAAGTAAATACAGAAATTTAACAATCTGGGAAAAGTGTTGGAACAGAAGATGGAAAATGTGACATAGAAACGAGAAGGCACATCTGAATTGTGAAACGCAGTTGGCGCAGTGGATTGGTTGTCACAAACATCCAATCGGGTGCGCGGAAAACGTGATGTATTTTCGTTCAATTTATTAAAAAGGCCAGAGTCTGCTAGCGTTTGATGGCGGAATGGGAATCGAGGATTGATTAGGTCGTTTCGTGATGGGATGTATGATGTTGAAAGACCCGAAACTTCCTGATGAACCAAGTCAATTTACATCACTGACGATTCGCCTATTTAAAAGAAACTTTAATTTATAAAACATTTCAAAAGCTGAAATTATTTACATTTTTTGATTAATTTTTGGTAAAAGTTTTCTATGTATATGTTAAGTGTATTATGTTTTAGTTTCAATAAAAATAAATCTTAACCAAAAAAAACTTATTAGATCTAACGAAAATTAAGACAAAAACAATAGCAGCTGTAAAATTTAATTCTATAATTGCTGTAAATTTATGTAAGATCGACAGTGAGGTTAGGACAATTTGCTCACAGATAAAGAGGATTCTTCAAACAATGGAGATGTGGTTCTACAGAAGAATAATGATAATGCCACAGACGGAACAGGTGAATAACGAGAACGTTTAATATACAAAAAGTATAATTGTGTTTAGGAATAGAAAGAAACACTTAAAATTTATAGGACACATTATAAGAAAAGATGGTATGGAGAAGTTGACACACACAAGACATACTGAAGACAAAAGAGGCAGAGGAAAACATCGATTAACATTACTAACGAGCTTTTTTAAAGGAACACCAGATTATAGACCCGGTGGGATGGTAAGTAGATTAACTTTGCTTAGAGTTACATGGGATAGGAAGTTGTGACGAGCCATGATCACCCGCATCCTGAAAGGATACGGTATATACAAAAATAAGCCATGACTGGTAACAAAGTATATTATAGACTATATTATGGAGTATATTATAGAAACTTGCTGTCACTTGATCTCTCGAAAGGCACTGAAGTATCAAGGAGTATAACCATAATTACAAGAAAACATTCAAAGGACATTTTGAAGGCAAGAGGGACAGAAGAAAGCATTGCATAACCTACCTAACAAACTTGTGTAAATGGTTGACAGAACAGGGATTTGGAGATGTCAAAAGACAAAATTTGCTAAGAGCTGCAAAGGACAAGAAATTGTGGAGAGCCATAATCGCCCACATCCTGAAGATACACCGTACATAGAGAAATGAGTAACAAACAAACAAAAATAGCAATAACACTTTTAACACTACTATTCATAAGGTGCAAATTTTTAAAACAATACTATTCATAAATTGCAAGGATTTTATAAAGCATGATTAACCTATCGAATAAAGCACAGTTAAGATAGTCTCTTATACTTAATTAAATGATGCTGCTACTGCTGATCCTTCAAAACAAATAGACTTAAAGCAACTGCGGCAAAAGCAAGGATACTAAAAGAAAAAGTAATGTTAAAATAACGGTGAGATTTCTGTTGATTCTAGGATGGCTAATTAAAATGGCTGCCAATGGTTGCGTGGATGTCTGCCTGTCAAACAAAATGTTAAATGTGTTGAATTCGCTGCTATATGAAGATGGCTGATCTTGTAACTATTTTCTAATGAGAAAAGAAACAAAATAGGATTTAGTTAATGTCATTTCTTTTTTTATCGTTGTAGATGTGCGGCTTTTTATTTTACTTGCTTTTCTTTCTTTTGAGGTGACTTTTGTAGATGTGAGTCAATTGTAATGCTTCCAACTCAAAATAACTTTATTTACCCTATATAAGATTACAGCTATCATTCGATCTTGAAGCCATTTTATATATTTTTTATTTACTGGATGGATGTATTTAGTTTGGCCAAGTATATTGAAGTTGAGTTGCTGATAAAACATTCAAATTTGTAATGATATTCATTCATTTTTCACGTGGTTCTTAATATTTTATCAAGATTTCAGGTGATATTTTCATTAAGGTAAGGGCAACAGATTGTCAACTAAGCAAAGCTAGACAAATCCTATTCCAGACAACTGGTCACCTACATTTTTGTTTCTTCAACACCTTCAGATCCACCAGTGGTTTATATTGCAACTAACCTGAGCGGAACTTAGTTACCGTTTTTTTTTTTTTTTGTGATAGAGCACGTGATCAACAGTTCGAATAAGGTGAGTACACTCAAATTCTCGGTCACGATAACATACGACGGTATGCGAACAATATCGTGCAGGCAATTTCACTCAAAAGGCTTGACTAAAACTTTTGTATGGTTTTCAGGTACTTTTCAACGATACCACAGACCTCTCTTCGCCAATAACATTAAGATGTCACCTTCCTGAGAAATCGGTTCTCATGGTCGAAAAGCGAACATTCTAAACACGCACCAATTCAATAATATATATATATATATATATAATTAATAAACAATAAAATCCCTAATCATCTCATATGGGGAATAACCTATTTCGACAGACGAGGATATCTGTCGTCGGTCTTATCAATCCCGGTGTGGACTGAGTTCGTGTTATAAATGAATTTAATCGTGAATGCTAAAAGAAAAAAATCAACCTATAGAAAAACTAATCCAGAATTTATCCATTTCAATGTTTCAGTCAGACGAAAGACACGAGACAAGGGTCAGGGAAAGATGGAGGGTAATTGACTTAAACCCGTTCTTTTTTTTTTTTTTTTTTTTTTCGAGAGAGAGAGAGAGAGAGAGAGAGCACGTGATGAAGAGTTCGAACAAGGTCATGATAACATACAACGGTATACGAATAATATCGTGCAGTCAATTTCACTCACAAGGCTTGACTAAAAATTTTGTATGGTTTTCAGGTACTTTTCAACGATATCACAGACCTATCTTCGCCAATAACATCAAGATGTCACCTTCCTGACACCTTATGACATTAATTTTGGTTTATATGGAGAATTAAATATTAATTTAAAATTAAAAGAGGAATAACAGAAGGAGTTTAAAATAACTGTAAAATATATAGATAAAAGGATGTAAGTTATGTAGATCTTAGAGAAAGCTAAAGTTTAAAAAAATATAATTAATATCGGTAAAGGGGTTATAGAGGGAGGTATATATAGAAATTATAATTAGTTATACATTCGATATTTGAAGAGTTAGAGGGCAGTGAATATTATGGATATATATATATATATATATATATATATATATATATATATATATATATATATATATATATATATATATATATATATATATATATATATATATATATATACATACATATATATATATATATATATATATATATATATATATGCTGGGCCTCTAGGAGTAAAAAGTTGAAAAGTGTGACACACTGACATTTGCATTTATTATAGATTTGCATTATGATTGTTCCAATGTCTGATTTTAGAATATTTAATACGTTAAATACAAAGATATAGGAATTTAAAATTTATTTGAATGATTTCGCTAGGATTGGGGATAATTCTGGGTTGATATTCGAAGAAAAACCACTGGGATTTTGTCTGCGGCAATGCCTTTAACATCTATCTATCTATCTATCTATCTATCTATCTATCTATCTATCTATCTATATATTCCGTTATATTGATGAAGCTCTACTTATATATCCTCGTGATACTGATTTACCTGACCTAGTAGATCATGTAATCAAAGTCGAACACTCAATAGAACTTATATA